TAAGACGCTTCCAATTATTTGTGATCCAGAAAAAGAGATCAAGAATCTGTTAGCACTGAATGTAGCATAAGAGCAAATAAGCTCTGAATGAAGATCTAAGTAAGGAGCTTGTGTTTAGTCCTATAATTTTATGACACTTATCTTAGCTACTCAGGAGACAATTTTTGCTTATATCATATTTATAGCTATCCTCTTATAAAGTATGGCAAAAGAAAAAAGACCTCTAGAAAAGAAAGAATCATAGTGGCAGTAGTAGTAATAATAAATTTAATAATAATTAATAATCATAATAACAGCAATTCACATTTAATGAGCACTTACTAATTGTCAGGTACCTTCATAATTGTTTTCTATATTTTAACTCACTTAATCTTCATAATAACCCTGTGAAATAAGTACTGATAATATGCTAATTATACAGATGAGTAAACTGAGGCACAGAGAGGTTAAATACAGTAAATTTCCAGAGGAAAAGTCATTTAATTGGCAGAGAAAGAATGTGAACTCAGAAAATCTTAATTTAAAATGTGCGTTCATAACCACTACTCGACACTACCTCGCAATGAGCCATTACTGACTTGAAAGTCTACGGTTTATTATGTTAAACTACTAACGTATGAATGGTTTACCCATGTGTATATTAAAAGTAATGGTATTTTAAATTAATTTATAACCAAAAACATTTAAGTCCATTCATCACATTCTTTGACTTCTAGAATTTTTTTTTTTAATGTTTACTTATTTGAGAGAGGAGAGAGACAGAAAGCATGCGCATGCACAAACAGGGGAGGGGCAGAGAGAGGGAAATAGAGAATCCCAAGCAGGCTCCACACTGTCAGCGCAGAGCCCAACATGGGGCTCAAACCCACGAACCATGAGATAATGACCTGAGCTGAAATCAAGAGTCGGACATTTAACCGACTGAGCCATCCTGGGAGCCCCAACTTCTAGAAATGTGTAAGATGACAAAAAAAAACACAAAAAACAAAGAACAAAACAAAACAAAAACGAATAAAAGGATGTGTAAAAAAGAGTAAAGCAAACAATAGCAGAAGCATGAAGAACTTGAAACAGCACCTTTGTACACATATCATTAATTATGAACCACTGACTAAGAAGAAATACGTATCTGCTGCTTTTCAAAATGGAAAAGATACTACTACCATGATATTGTTTTAAAAAGCATTTTGGCTCTGTATAATTTGCATGTGAAAAAATTAAATTTTAGCATAGCTGATCCCATTATGTACTATGTGTCCTTGATATTCAACAGTACGCACCTAAGGACTGCTGGTTGGATAATGCAGGAAGATGCCATCCAAGGTGGTCTTGATTGAGAAAGTCATCTGGCAGTCCTTTACCACATTCCTGGGTACACACTAGAGTCATGTAGACTCGTGACAGTGGGAACCTATCTTCGCCAGGCTTTCCAGAAAGTAAAGCGTGGGTCCAAGGGAAATAGGAGCAAACTGAGGAGTGCGATAGAGGGAGAGCCACAGCCACCAAGTCCTACCTACCACCTATTTATCTGATGCTACTCAGGCGTCCAGGGGGAGAAAGAGCAAAGAATGTATCTCCAGGCTTCAATCTCCCTTTGTTCAAAGCTTTGCTCCATAGGGCAGAAAACCTCACATTTCCAAGCTGACCATGCATGGGCAGGATTGTGGTCCTCAGGGCATCTCATGCTTCAGTGTCAACAGGAATGTCTCAGGACACTCATGAGCGAGGCCACAATCAGAGTCACCAGTATGGAGCCAAAGACAGCCCACACTGAGGTCAGAGCAGAAGTTGGAAGAAGTTCTGAAGCCAACAGGATCTCAAGTGGTTCACAGGGGTTCTGAGAGCTGGTCCGGTGTGTTTTTAACTGGTTGAATCATGGGGCCCAAAGAGACCGGAGGGGCACATCCCCTACAGCCTGGAAGGGACCATGCACTACAAGACTTGAAAGGGGGTACTTTTCAGGACCTTCATTATCTACTTGGATGAAAACACAGAAAGCAAACTACTGACCACTTAGATGTCACAAGACTGGGAAAGATAACTAGCAGACTGAATGGCTGAATTAAAATTCTAAAGATTTTGACAGGCTGGAATGATGAATGACAGCTAGTAAGATGAAATTTTATAAGGGAAAAAAATTGCTTGGGTGGGTGCCATGGCTGGAAGACGAATCACCAGCAGGAACGAACATCCTCAGGGAAAAAATCATGAAAAGAGAATGTGTATCTCTAATTCTCTAACCTGGGGGGTTGGACAGGGGACACCAGAGAAAACAAGATGGCGCAGCATTATCGACCAGATGTCCATGAATCCATGTCTCCCCTCCAGTAGATGCCAGTTCCCTGGGCTCTTACCACCACCAAGTAGGCAAATAATAATTGCTTGCTGAATTTAAAAAGTGAAAAGAATACTATAATGAACTCTCATATGCCAATCAAATCGATCTGAATTGTTAACATTTTGCCATGTTTACATGTGTGTTTGACCCAAGAATTTGGAAGTGACACAAAAAACTTCAACATACATTGCATAACCACAACTATCTTCATCACATTAACAAGATTATATCAATTAACCATAATACTCTAATCATATCCAAAATCCAGCTCCTATTCAAATTTCCCCCACCTGACCCATAATATCGCTTATAGCTTTCCTTTTTTCACACTGAACCCAATCCAAGTTTCCACATCATATTTGTGGGTCTTTTTTTTTTTTTTAATTTTTTTTTCAACGTTTATTTATTTTTGGGACAGAGAGAGACAGAGCATGAACAGGGGAGGGGCAGAGAGAGAGGGAGACACAGAACTGGAAACAGGCTCCAGGCTCTGAGCCATCAGCCCAGAGCCCGACGCGGGGCTCGAACTCACGGACCGCGAGATCGTGACCTGGCTGAAGTCGGACGCTTAACCAACTGCGCCACCCAGGCGCCCCTGTGGGTCTTTTTTTAATCTCTTGTAATCTAAAGGAAACTCTGTATTTTTTATGTGGGACTTGTCCAATTGTTTCCTTTTGGTGTCACTTAAATGATTCCTATATTCTCAATATATGCTATAAACTGGAAATTATGTATACATCTTGATTAAATTCACCTTACACATTTCTGACAAAAACACTTCACAGACAATGATTTTTCAAAATGTTGCGTCATGTTTGGAGGCACATCACATCCACCTGTCTCACTATTAGTGATGTTAAGTTTGAGTACATGGATAAAGTAGTCACTATTTTAATGCTTATAAATGCTATGTTTTTCCTTTCACAATTAGCAAGTGATCTGCAGTACCATCATGCTTTTACTCCATAGGACTATACTTTTTCCCAACAATACTTTATATAAAGGTTTTAGAGCCATTGACAATCCTTGTCTGGATCGATTATTTCACAGGGACTGTAAGAATGGAGATTTTCTAATTCTGTCATTACTTCTTTATTTGTCAGCTGCCATTCCTCATTAAAGAACTTTCCCTCATCAAGTGCAGATGATTATAGTTCTTCCTAAAAATTGACATCCGATGTTTATATCTTCCTCACATATGAGAATTCTAACCAAACAATCTGTGGCCTAAAATAGGAATCAGCAGACTTTTTGCAAAGAACCCGATAGCAAGTATTTTAGGCTTTCCAGACCATATGCCGTCGCAACCATTCAATTCTTCCACTGTAGCACAAAAGTAGCCATCAACAGTACATAGATGAATGAATGTGGTTGTGATCTGATAAAACTTTATTTACAAAAACAAATGGAGGGCCAGGTTTGATTCTCAGGCCACCATTTGCTCACCTTGGTCTATAATAATATCATTTACTTTTGATACATTTTATTTGTCCTACTTAGTGGCTTTCAAGGTACTTTCACATAGATCATCTAGTCTGTTCTCCACACCAGCCATATCACATAGATGAGGCATATGACTGCTATCAGACAGAAGAGATGAGGCTCAGAAAGGGTCAAGGAGAGCCCCCAACCTAGATTTCTCAACTCCTTGCCTGATGCTTATATCCCCATTGTCTCCCTTTATGTAGCTGGATACGGACCCCAAACCTACCATCACGAACAACAAATGTAATGCCCCAAAGATTTCTGAAAAATTAAAGGTCAAACACTCTAATCGCTAAATTATGCTTTCCACAGAGAGTTAGCTATTGATTTGCCAGAATGAAAAATAAACCATCCCAGCATAAACATACTCCAAAGACTACAGTTATGTTTCCATTTCCATGAAAAGAAAACAAAATTTAAAATGTCCTGAAATGCATAACCCAGATGGAAATTAATATCTGGGCTTAGTTTGTTAATAGAATATAAAAATAAATAGAGGTGCAAACCTTTCCACATTGCCATTAACTTTGCAACTAAATTTATCAAAATGTCAGAAGCCACAGTTTTCTTCCCTAACTCATTAACAGGTGGTAAAATATACAGAAGCACGCCAAGCACTGTAAAGTGCTCGTGCATCATCCGTCAATATTATTGCTGCCACGGCTGTTGTTAAAGACAGAACGGATCCTCACACGGTAGGACAAAACGCGCATTTTGCCTAACCGACTAGGCTTACATCCATGTTTGGAAAAGAAACTGTATTTAAATACATGGTAAGAAGCTCCAAATCTGGCCTTTTTGTTACTGAGTCTCACCAACAAACAGAACATTCCAGAGACCACATTCTTTTTTTTTTTTTTTTTTTTTTTTTAAAGGCAGAATTGGTCTTGAACTCCATGGGAAAAGGCCAGACTACTTTTATACCCCATCTCCATAAAATGTTGCCAAAATTTGAGAGGTATATCTCTCCTTCCACTATGAAAGACAATCGGGTTTGGCAAGAGCAAGGAAGCTAACTTTTATGAGGCAATTAGTATGACCTGATGATTTACATTAGGCCCACCCCTAATACTGCAGCGGCAAGAATACTAAAGAAAGCCTACACCCTGTGCTTAATACTGTAAGTTACGTATAAAAGCTAATGAGTCATTAAAGAAAACATGTTCTATTCTCCTACCTTGAGAAATACTTCATAACTGTAAAATTTTAAGTGCACGTGAAGTTACAGTTTTCATACAAGTAGAAGTCAGCAAAACATTGGAGACAACTGAATTTAATTGTTATTGCACACATCTGGGTGTTCCGCTGATGGACCTGTGATTTGGAGATGAGTAGTTGGTTAATAATGCAAAATGTGCTTCATTCGCCACGTGCAACTATTGCAAAGAGCAAAGAGCTCCCTAATTCACAAGTACCTCCGGAACCATGAAGGGAAGCAAGAAAATGAATGTTCAGTACTATTGAAAAATAATACTTGCTAATGTAATAAACTACTGCACTTACGTGGAGAGAAAGGTTTTACAATTTAATTAGTCTTTTGTCTTAGCTAAGTGCTTTTGCTACTCAAATCCTCCCCACACTCCAAAGCAGCGCCCGTTTCTGATAGCACAACCCACAAATGCTCATGGCATTCAGATGCAGTCACCCTTTGTCTGAGAATATTGGGCAAGAGATGTGGGAAAGCATGTCCCTGGGGCCTGAACAGTATTAGTAGTCATGAGGGTTGATGTTTACCTGCCAACGCTGAGGACTGAATCCTGAGTAACAGAGGCACCGTGTTTTCTTTACCAAATACATACAGTCCGTGTGTGTTGAACCTGAGGCCTTCCGAAGTGTGTGGCCCAGGACAGAGGCCCCTCTTGCCCAGTTTGAGAGGTAAGTGCTGCTTGACATTTATTTCCTTCCTCAGTAGAGCCGTGAACCACTAGCTCTCAGCGCTCATCCCTAAGTCCATCATGTTCCAGAAGTGAGGGCCTTAATGACACTCACTTTGCCATACCGAGCTAAATCCAAGGTTTCAAAATAGCTATTCAGTATTGACAGTCACCACTATTCATGGTCACTTCAAAGACAATTCCAATTTTCCCACTGCACAGTTAGATGTGGGCAGGGCAAGGGAAACAAACACTGGAGGTCTGGAAGAGAAGGAGGAGAGGAGAAAAACTGGGAATATGTTTCTTCCAAGGTAACTTTTCTCCAACTCAGACTTTTCCACATCAGAATCGCACCAATGCCTTCCAACTCCTTGGCAACTTGGAACTTCTTTCAACATTTACCCAGTAAGTTGTGCCAGGCACTGTCCTGGGCACTGGGGATAAGAAGACTGGTCCCTCCTATTAAAGGTCTCGATATTCCAAATCCATGGGTTTTCTGTCACCATTTCCCGGCCAATTATAAGGAAAACATGCATTACTTCTTTCCAACACTTTCCCTTTCGCTATTTCTCTTTTTTAGTCAAAGGCAGTAACTATAGCATAAGAGCATGATGCTATTTTTCCTCGTAATTGAGAGAAGATGCACATCCTGTCAGACATTCTAAGGCCAAAGAACTAACCACTTTCCCATAGGGTTTGTTGAAAGGTAATATCAGCAGAACCAACCTTAACCTTTGTCCCCTCCAGCCCATGCCTCCCTATACTCCCTTGCTGTTTGAAACAGAGCACAAATCAGACAGAAAGGAGGATTTCTCAGAGAAGCTTTCTCCTCACCCCAACAAGGAGAAGGGAGGAGGCTTCAAGCAGAGAGGAGATGACACAGTGGGACACCAATATCACTGAGCTTGACAGGAAGTCCCTGGATCACTGGAGGCAGGCAAAGAGCACTGGGTATAGACGGTACAAGAAAGGAAAACTTGAGAATTTTCTTGTTCCCGAGATACATGCAAGTTAGATCTCAACTTGCCAGTAGGCCACAAAGATGGAATCATCACCAATGCCAGGTACACTGTATCACGACCTGGGCAGGCATAGGGTAAGGCAATATCACGTGATGTCCCCAACTTGGAATCAACAAGAAGACAGGGCTGAGTTGTGCACAAGGAATCACATAGGAGGGAAGCCTTTGTCGGGAGGGCCTGATGGAGTCACCAGCCATCCTCAAGGAGCCCATTAATCACAAACTAGGTCAATAGGTATGTTCAACCAAGAAGACTCATGCAACCCCACCACGGGCCGACATGCAAGGCAACATTTTCACACCGTCTCCTTCCTCACTGACCCAACATTAAATTGGTCACTACAAAAAGGTAGAGAGAAAAGTATGTAAGAGAATAGATCGTGACCCAGAACCCTCCACACCCAGGGAGCCAGAGTCACAAGTTTAGAGCAAGGAAAGATGGGTAAGATGAAGAAATGTGTATTAAACAGAAGACTAAAGTTTTAAGTTGATAACACTGAGACCTTAAAAACTTTAAGTGGGGTGGTTTTTTAAGAAATAAGAAGTGGATGTTGATAGAGCGAATTGGTAGCAGTTATTGAACAAAATAAAACCATTTCAGGTATATGCCAGAGCATTCAGACAGCAGGAAACTGAGAAATTCTTAAACATATTCATCAAGCCACAATTGGTGACAAAGTGATAAAACTATATCACCGCACTACAGAGAAATCTGATGTGCACCTAGGAAGAGGCCCCTTGAAGCAAGCCTTGGGAACTTCAGCTCTATGCTACCTCCCAGCTGCTTGGAATTATAACAAAGAGTGATGCTGTTTGTCTTGATCCGCAAAGGCATTTAAATTTGGCAGAAGGTCCCGCTTAAATGTTTGCAAACTGTCTACATTTACAGCTGGGATCTCTTTCCCTAAAACTGCAAAGAACGGAAAACTGCACTCTGTATTTTTCTCTTTGTACCTTTTCTCATCTTCGTGGTCGCCCATTAAAAGTGATCGCCTTTGGAAAGGAGATCAGAAATTGCTTCAGAAAGGTTCTGTTCTTCCAAATGACATTGTTAAGATGGGGGTGTTTTTTTATAAATCTGTTTCTCTTCTGATCTCTTCACTTTGCAGCTAAAGTCTTTCAACCACCTTGGGATGAAAGAAGTACTGTAGAATATTGATTTTTTTTCCTTCCCCCTGCAAATTCATGACAAATGGTGAACAAAAGCTTATCTGGAAGTTTAGACGTCCAATTAAAATTTTACTCTCAAGTGAAAATTCCTCTAAAAAAATAGAGAGACTCCAACTTCTGTATACTCTGTATATCTTCACTTCACTGGAGACATGTTCCAGGACCAATATCAAGAAACTAATCTTAAAATTAACTTGGGGAGAGAGGGAAGGGGAGGGAAGGTAGAAGAGAGGGAGAAAGAAAGAAAGAAAGAAAGAAAGAAAGAAAGAAAGAAAGAAAAGAAAAGAAAGAAAAGAAAGGGAGAGAGGGCAGGAGAGAGAGAGCATGTAAAAAGTGAGAAGCATCACTCAACATACTTTATCCCTTTGGGTCAAAGGGAAAGGAAGAAATGGTACTTGCTGGAAAGATGATAGGATTTATGAATTTGGTGGCAATTTAGATCCAGACTGCAATATAGTCATTTAAAAGAAATAATATATTTGGTGATTCAAATGATGATTCATATATTTGATCTTTATTCAGTTCCTGAAAACTTTCAGAACCATAAAGGTGACACGGGTGTTTTGTTATTAATGAAGGTGAATTTTGGACCCCACCCAAGGGCAGGGGCTGGTTGCCAGGAGGACCAAACATGTGATGACACAGTTGGAATGTTCATTCCCACCTCCTGACCTCTAAAGGGGAGGGAGGGTGGAGACCGAATCACCCAATGGCCAATGACTTAATCATGAATATGTAATGAGGCCTCCATAAAAACCCAAAAAGACTAGGTTCAGAGAGCTTCTGGGTTGGTGAATATGTAGAGGTACAGGGAAAGTGATGTGTCTTGAGAGGGTACAGAGTTTCTGTACCCTACAGAGTTCCCCATATCTCACCCAGTGCATTTCTTCATCTGACTGTTGATTCAGATCCTTTATTACATCTTTTAATAAACTGGTAAACATAAGTGTTTCCCGGACTTCTGTGAGCTTCTCTAGCAAATTAAAAGAACTTAAGGAGGATGTCACTGGAACCTACAATCTGTTGCTAGTTGGACAAAAGCACCGGTGATAGCCCAGGGCTTGCAACTGGTATCTGAAGGGGGATTAGTGGTCAGTCTTCTACAACTGAACCCCCAACCTATGGAATCTGATGCTATCTCCAGCTAGAGAGTGTCAGGATTGAGTTGAATTCTCCGACATGCTACTGGTGTCTGAGAATTCCTTTATCTTGTTGTGGGCGGGACCACCCCTCATGAAGGGTTGGGTTCAGGAACCCTAAAAGAGTTGGTGTCATTAGGCCCAGAGTGGGTCTGGCCATGGTGAGGTAAGACCCAGGGAGCCAGGAAGGGAAGGGCGCATTATTTCAGGCAGAGTGTGCATGTAAGAGTAGAGGCAGGACACAGAGGGCAAGGGAGGAGGGCTGGACAGGTAAGAGCAGGTTTAGGTGACAGACACGTGGTTTGCATGACGAGAAGTCAGAAAAAAGTCTGGAAAATAAATTGAAACAACCTTGCAGATGTCCATTTCATAACAGGTTTAATATTTAAATTGGTTCTTTGCTCACCTTTTTTGTTTCTTGCCTTTGATTCTCTCTTTGCATCTATTAACATCCCCTGCTACAACTCTGCCGGATAAGCTTTACCTCCCTCTTTACGTACCTTCTTCAACAACCACTTGAAATTATTACTGAAAAGGTAAAGGTCCCTTTGGTATAAGAACACTCTGGATTACATGAAATTAGTAACGAAACACTGGGGTGATAAGTATGATTCTACATGCCAAAACAGAAAGATAAATGCCTAAATCACACATAAACAGGCACACGTGCACATACACGCACACAGGCACACACGTATACATGTGCTCACATGCACGCAGACACATACGCGTACCCACCTGCACACACATACATGTGTATGCCTGTACACATGAATAGGCAGGCATATGTGTCTACACAGAGAAAGATAAAAGAAAAGAAAAAAGAAAAGGTGATTTTCCCCATCAAAAGCACCACCTGGCCCTGAAACAGCCTACCAGTCACAGGTTCGCTGTGCTATCCCAAGTCCCAGTACTTGCCCACCAAGTAATAAAATCAATAACACACTATTGATAATCCAAACTCAACTTGACCATCGTTTCTATGCAGCGCCACAGAACAGCTTCGAGCGAAGGATTTAGATTCCATGTAAATGTACACCTCTACAATGCCAAATTCCTAACTTCCTCATGTGGGAGCAGCCTTGGGAGCCCCAGAGCATTCCCACGGTCCAGCCTGCCTCACATGCCTGTCTTCTCCAGCAGCATTCACACTCCCCTCTGGGAAATTCTGCATTGCTCTGGTTCACGACTGGGTGCTGTTGGCAAGCCTGCCTATCCTTCAGCCAAGAATTTCATCTTCATTATTCTGGTCAGAAAAC